GAGGCTATTTACGTGCATCAGGTAACACACGGGCCCACATCCTGAGCCCTGGGGAACTCCGCAGTTTACTTGTTTCTCCTCGCTGAACGCATCGCCGACTTTCACACGGTAAGAGCGCGCCCTGAGATAGTCGCTGAACCAAGGGTTCAGCAGCTGCCCCAGGCCACACTCCTCCATTGCATTTAAGAGGGTTTCAGTCTGTAGGGTATCAAAAGCCTTCCTAAAATCATAAAAAATAGCTACAATATTTTTTTTTTCCAAATGTGCATTAATTTCGTCCGTAAAATTTGATAATAAAGTGTTGGTACTTTTATTTTTCTGGAAGCCATGTTGACATTCCGTTAAGATATTATTTTTTTGTAAAAAAGTTCCTATTTGATTGATAACACATTTTTCCATAATTTTATCAATACTTGATAGTATAGCTATTGGTCTATAATTCGAAAATACTTTACGATCACCTCTCTTATGGACCGGACGAATGATTGCTTCCTTTAATTTTTGTGGAAATTTGTGGCATTTTACAGATAGATTTATCAGCTTAGATAAAACAGGGCTAATCTTATCAACAATTATTTTCAAATCAGACATGCATATAAGATCACTTCCCGGTGATTTATTTTTATTCATTTTATCAATTATTAGTTTTATGTCCTTGCCATTAACCGGTTGCCATCTCATACACACATTAGACAATTTAACATAAGTCTTCCTTTCCAGCCATTTTTCATCACAGGAGTGCTTTATTTGATCAATTTCCTTTGAGAATGTATCAGCAAATTCATTACAGACTGCCTGCGTGCCTTCCTGTTTAGTTATGTTACTTAAGATTAAATTATCCAAAGACTGCTTATTTTTACCCAATAACTCATTAATTTTATCCCAAACTTTTTTAATATTATTATTACAATCTAAAATTGTTTTTTTTATCATGTTCTATGTTACATTTAAAAATTACCTTTTGACATTTATTTCTGTATCTAGTATAAGTTAGTCTTTTTACCATATTCTTTGGATCGCTACACCATATTTTGAATAATCTACTACTAACTCTAAATGAACATAGAACTAAGCATGTGTCATTAGTTTTAAAAATTAAACAACAACAATAATATCAAAGCCAAACTGAATATCCTTGAAATGCCAAAATATTCACTCATAATCTTACAAAAAGGCGTATTACTAAACACATTTCGTTTTACTCATCGTGCATCCATTCTAAACCAACTCCTAAAAAGGGAGATAAAAGAAAATATTTAATAATAGCCATAATGTAAAGTTTGTCGTGTTATTGTTATTTGAAAGTAATAAAAAATATTAAATCACCTTCGACTCATTGTGGCGTGACACTATTCGAATTTTTATTGCCGATTGAAAGATATGAAATAATCTTACATTATGTTCTGAGATATGCCAAAGACTCGGAGCTACGTGATATAAAAAAATGTGTGAATAAATGAGTAAGCGTTTTTTTTTTAAATGAAATTATTTTATTTTTTATTTATTTTATTTTATTAGGAAGACAAACAGTGAACTTAAACTATATAAACTCTAACCTTACAACTAAACACCATTTAAATGTCTCCGCATTTAAATAACTACAAACGATTGGGGCGTCGCATCGCCTAGAATTAAATAATTAAAGTAAAACGTAAAACAAAAACAAAAATAAAACAGTTTGAGAAAATAAAAAAACAGAAAAACGTAGTAAATAGAAAATAATTAATTAAATATTTGCATTCAACCATCGACTGACTAATGTTCTCCTAATACTCTTAGTAGAAGTGTTGAAAATGTCCAGTTCAGGGAAGTCAGCTAGAGCATTGAAACTGTTAACAGCTCTTATAAAGAATGCATTACGTCTGTAATTTGTACCACCACGAGGTACTCCGAGACGAGATGATTGACGGCTCTCGCGCATTATGGATCTCGGGGGCACCCTTAAACATAACAACGATAGAAGATAAGACGAGTCCACCTCAGACTGAGCTATTTTGCTATAAAGAACAATATCAGCTATCCTACGTCTTTCCTCCAGTGGAAGTATGTGATGCCTTCTACATCTCGTCTCGTAGTCGGGATCATACACTTTAGTTTTAAATTGAAGAAACCTCATGAATTTGGTCTGTATGGTCTCCAATCTATTTATATAAATTTTATATCGCGGATTCCACACCTGCGAACAATACTCTAGGATACTGCGCACATATGCACAGTACAGCACCTTAAAAATTTTAGCACTAGTAAATTGCGCACCAAGCCGCTTGATAAAACCTAATGATATATAGGCTCTTTTCACTATATTGTCTATATGCTTCTCATAAGACAGTTTCCTATCATGTGTTACCCCCAAATCGCAAAATTCATCTACATTTGCCAGATTGGTTCCTATAAGCTGATATGTGAACTTAACAGGTGTAGTCTTATGTGTGAAGGTCATGGCAAAACACTTCGAAACGTTGAGGTCTAATTTATTAAGATGACAATATTCCTCGAGCCTTAAAAGATCCTCCTGTATCATCTGACAATCATTGGAAGAGTTAACTTTTCTATAAACTTTCATGTCATCCGCATACAAGAGGAAGTCCGAAGACCGAAAACATGTACCTATATCATTTATAAAAATATTAAACATCAACGGGCCGAGCAGAGACCCTTGAGGAACACCAGAAGGGATCCCTCCCCAGGAAGAAGCATGTCCGTTGACCACAACCTTTTGTGATCTATTTTCAACATAAGAAGAAAACCACCTGAAGAGACTACCATGAATTCCAGCATTAAAGAGCTTTTGTAGCAGAATCGTGTGATCGATGCGGTCGAATGCCTTACTAAAATCAGTAAAGACAGCATCAACTTGACCACCAGAATCCATATTACGTGTGAGATATTCCGTGAAGGTAACTAAGTTAGTGGTAGTCGATCTATTCTTCAAGAAACCATGTTGTTGCGCTATGAAGGTAGGTTTTAAAAAAGCGTACAACTGTGAATACACAACTCGTTCAAACAGTTTAGCAAATAAGCACAATTTTGATATAGGCCTATAATTTTTTATATTTTCTTTATTGCCTTTTTTGTGAACTGGTGTTATGAACGCAGATTTCCAGATCACAGGTACGATTCCTTCATGAATTAACCTACGGTAAAGTATGACCAAAGGTGCAAGCAAGTTCTCAGAACACCTAACTATGAATAGGGGTGGAATCCAATCAGGACCTGCTGCTTTTGACAGATCTAAAGCCTTTAGCAGTTTCAAAATCTCAGCCGGATCAATTTCAATACTGGATATGCAGTCAGAGTGTGCAATGTTTGTATTAACACCCAGGAGCTGGTCAGCAGTACTGTGATCAGCCGTCATCTTAGGCAACGACTTGCAGTAAAGGTATCGATCAACGTAATTGTATTAACAAATTTACTGAAAAGGATGAACCAAATTAAAATTTACTTAGTATTTGCATTCAACTAATTAATTAGTCATTTTATAATTTTATACCATTAATCACCACTCAAAAACCAAAGCTAATTAACTACGTTTCTAGTGGGGAAAGTTAGTATGATGACGTTATGAACTTGTTTTTTGTTTTTTTTTTATAAAATCCCTTGCATTTTATAAAAAAAAAAAAAACAAAAAACATGCCTAAAGTCACATAGTTGATGGATTGACATTCGATGATTTTTAAGATAATATATTTATAAAAACTTATTTAATTTATTTAAACTATCAGAAGCTACAGCCATACAGACATGTACGCACGCATACTTGCCTTCGGGCTGGTAAAAAACAAAGTTAGTTTAAAAACAATAACCTGAATTTAATTTTTTTTACTTATATATTTGACTCTGCTTATGAAACTAGTTATCTCAGTTGTATGTTTAAAAACCGCACTAAAACCATTTTAGCATTTAAACAGTGTTTCGTCATAATTTTTTAACAAAATCACAGGATGGCGCGACAGTAAGATCGTTATATTGAAAGCTGCTGTATGCTAATTTGACGATACAGGTAGTGCCGCAAGGCGCAATTAGTGTTGAATCAGTGCACTGGCCTTTGTCGGCGCATAAAAGCTAAGCGGTGTTCGTGCGTATTACAATATATTGTTTATCGTGTAATCATAAAAATAATACTTCACAGCGTACTTTACTTAATACTATCATAATATCGGTAATACATAATGTATTTATTATATGTTGTAGTTTATCGAGGATATTAGCAGTACCGCATTATGCTTCTCATCGGATCTTCTCAATGGGTCACGATTGCGATCCGGTGGTGAATTCTGCGAAGCATTACCCTTGTTAGGCTAGTGTTAGTAAATTCTCTCACGTTGAGCCCGTGAGCTCACATATCCGTCCGAGCGTAAGTGGAATAACCCCATAGGCTACTTACTAGCAATGGGTAGGGGAAAAAAAGATATACGTGACATGGAAACGAAATCTTAGTTTTACTGAATTATCGTAGGTTTTTAGGGGCTCTGCGAATTTACGATCTTGGTGAATGAAACAATGAGCTCATATTGCTATCAGAAAAATTATATTATTACGAAACAAATCGCCATGGTTTAAAGGATAACACGCCTGGTGTACTGGAATCGAGAGATACGACTGCACCGGTGTTAATATACCGCATAAAGGTACCAATCTTTCTAATAAGTACTAACTTATGTTCAGGAATAACTTCCTCGATTAAGGAATAATATCAAACAAAAAAAACTAAGAAATGCAACCTGCCCTCCGTGAATCTCTTCGTACAGTAAATTGGAAAATAAGCACTGAAATTCCACAAAACACCACGTTTTTTTTTCTATTTATTTTAGTAGTACACCAAAGTTTTAGCTATACTTAGAATATCTCTCTGTTAGTTAACATAAGTTTCGTTTTCCAATAAAAAAGCCGCTCTGTATCTTAGTCACAGATATTATTTACAAATAAAACCAATGTGAATTAGAGAGACAGATGGGTGAAGAACGCATTGAAACATTTGAGACCACACCATGCGGACTCACTCCCTCCACCGAGGTAGGACCGTAGTTGTTCTACCAACGCTAGCATGACTGGCACGAATGCCCCAAATCACGCTTTACGCCATCTATAAAAGGAGATTTGTTAGAATGAATCGAAATCTCATCATCTGTAAATACCTACAAAAGATTGGCATGCAAATTAAAACATCATATACTGCAGACTTTAAGGATGCTCTGTAAGTCTATAACAAAGTTTTATGAACAAAAACATTACTTAAAATTATGAATGGATTCAAATTGATCGGGCTTAATAAAGAACCAATCAGACCTGCGTCATTAAATAATAAATGAACAAGATCTCAAAGTAACAAATCAAATAAAAGCTTGTGATAACCGCCTCGAGTGGAGTGTGACCATTATAGACGAATAAAAAAAACAGACTACCGTGTTCAAATCGACGAGGGTTTATTAATATGGTGGTTGATGTTGGATCATATTCACTTGAGGTCGTAGGACTGATCTTATGAAGATGAGTGTACGGCGAACTCATTACAAGCAATTACAAGACCTAATTATAATTATTAGTGTTTGCCAAATGATCGAATTTCGACAAAAATGATTACACTTCAAAATTTTTCTATTGCTATTTTGAGGGAAAAATAACTGATATTACTAAATGAAAAACGGAAAATCAGTTTTAATACCATTTAAGATACCATTTTTAGTACCGTGTTAACATGGAAATGGTACTTTACATAATTACGAGTACAATTACTATTACGGTTTAATTTCGCGGAAGACTTTCCGTCTCACGCAAGCCCTTGGACCACGAAATCTGTAAAGTTTTTGTAAAGTCGGAAATAATATTACAATGACAGTAAAGACGCTATACTAAACCGTAAAAATAGTTTGAACTATGTCTATTAAGACTAGAGAAAACCGAAGAAAATGGTGCTTTTTGTATTTGCCTATATATGTAATAATATAATGTAATATTATATACATTACCGCAAAATTATAATTTGCGTAATTACTGGTGGTAGAACCTCTTGTGAGTTCGCGCGGGTAGGTATCACCGCCCTGTCTATTTCTGCCGTGAAGCAGTAATGCGTTTCGGTTTGAAACTATACTGAGATCTTAGAACTTATATCTCAAGGTGGGTGGCGCATTTTACGTTGTAGATGTCCACGGGCTCCAGTAACCATTTAACATCAGGTGGGCTGTAAGCTCGTCCACCCATCTAAGCAATAAAAAATATATATATTACATAAATATATTACACATTCCGACAGTTCAAATTTAAGAAAATTATATTAACAATATTTTGTACGGTGTTGTGGTATAATGAGTAATTATATATTAGTGAAAGTGCTAATTGGTGTTTTCTAGTGTTTTTATTAAGTAAAATGTCGGTCACGAATCCCATTAATGCTACTCATGACGATAACAATAACTTCTCAGACTTTACATTCATATTTTTGTTACTACATACATTCTTATTCTATAAAACGTTCTTCTCCATAAATAGAATTTGTATCTATAGTTATCTAAACCTAAAATCACTTCAAGAGACTGGTTGGACTTGTAACAAAAAAATTTTAGATCTTCAGTTCCCACATAACAAAAAAACTCATAATATAGGTCTGAAAGTTTTTCGTGACGTTCAAACGAGTACCGAAATAAAAAGGAGGAACATTAAATCTAAAATTGGTGATTTTAAGTCAAGAATATGTATGCGGCGTATTTCGACGCACATACACCTTTTGTTAACAGGTTTACAGTAGAATATATTTTATATAGGATAGACCACCAGATGGGTTTGTGTTTTACTTGTACACTTACACATTGCTTATAGAATCATTATTATATCATTATATTTTATAATTGTTCTAATTGTTCTAATATCCTATTACTTGACTACATTGACATCAGTTTTAAATATTATTGTTTAATCTTGACGTTTGAAATTTTTTATTCTTTTCTAATTTAGCGAAACCCGGCTACACTGTTCTGACACCGTCGGTGAGTGTATAAAAAAACAATCATAATTTGTTAAGTCTACTCGTGCTTCTTTGTCGTACGTTGATGGCACTGTGATAAAAACCTACCTTTAAGTGTTACAAATTTAGAGCAACGTAAATAAAGTTTAATTTCTTCTGTTTAATTTATGGTCGGTACTGGTCATAAAAATTAGAAAATACTGTTTAAAAAAGAAAGTTTTCGAATGTTTTTTCATTAATTATTGCGTACTGATGCGTTCTTCCACGCGAAAAATGTGAATGAAAACTTTTGAATTAATGTGTAAATTTGCGTTTTGTTTAACATTATGACTGTCTTGTTAATCGTATTACATGTAAGTTTATCTAAACGCCGAACAAGTTGCAGGAGAGGACTGTTTCTTACTTTATAATAAAGTTTCAATTCAATCCCATAGATCACAAACAATAAAACAATCCCATCCTCCGTGCGGTCTATTTGCGCCATAAAGTAATCATTCGCTCCGATTTGGGTGGTGGGATAGCCGATATTTGTAATTTTCAATTGTGGCTTCCACGTTATGTTTTACTGTGAGTAGCGCCAACCACGTTGTGGGGACTATGGGCTCATAAAGAACATTAAATCAGTAATAGCTATCTAGCATATCCTTCGTAATAAGATGATACTCTAAAAAACTTTGCATACGCCTGGTCATGACATATGCAAGTGTAGTTTCGCTCATGCAGCCCGCACTGAACTGAAACCCCTTCAAGTCGTTTTTGCAGGATAGCCGTCGGAGCACCGTGGTTCGTGAGGAGCATAGATCTCAACGACGATCTGGAGCTGGACTCCATAAGTAAATATTTTTAGTCGGCATCAGTGGGCCACTTTGAGAAGGCGGCACGACACGAAAACAATCTTGCCGTGGCCGCCGGTACTACCGCCGGAACTACATGGGGACATACATACAACTGCGGATCGAATAGTAAACAGTCGACGTCGCCCTAAGCACGTCATTTTGGATCCTCCCGATCCACAAACGGTGCTTTTAGGTACCTCAAACATCGGTCTCCGTTCTGGTCGAACCCGTCGCTTGCGACGAAGGGTTCGACGAGTAAAACCCATAGACACAACCCACTGAGTTTCTCGCCGGATCTTCCCAGGGGGCGCATTTCCGATCCGGTGGTAGATTCTCCGGAGCACTACTCTTGCTAGGGCTAGTGTTAGCCCAAAGAAAAAAAAACAAGGTCAGCTCGATATTGAAGCTAAAACGTAAATTCTTCTTTACACAATTAAAAGATCGGGATCGATTGTCACTTTGAAACAGTCACATTTGTGCTCGAATCAGATTCTCGCTTGTATACAGTCGGCATGTACATTCAAAATGTAGATGGTTTTTAAAGCACTTGACATTAGATTTTTTTAACTTGACGAATAAGTAGATGGCAGCTTTTGCCTTGTGTCGATATGCCTACGGTCGCGTTGGCTTAATCTCGACTAACATATTTTGCCAGGCTGATAGGACATTAATATTTACTATATCTGAAACCAGGCCATACCAACATATACTTAAATTGTGAATCGCAAACGAATCCCGTGGTAGTATGTTATTTATATGCAACAGATTTGCATTTGTTTTAAGAGAGCACAAAGTATTTGTGGCTTCGTGATGTGAAGCACGCCTAAACAAAAAGCAACCCGTCCTTCGCCAGCGTCGTCTTAAATCAAAATAAGAGTAGTACATGCATCAGTGTTAGTGCCCAATGTTGGGAGAGTTCGAGAAAAAATAGCAATTTATCTAGACCACACAGACAAGTAAGCCTGTGCTAATGATCTGTTATATACAATATATCCCTGTAGATTCTTGGTGTCTACAAACTAAACTGAATTCAGAGAGCAGTCTACCATACCTGTCTTAAAAACTAAGAGACACATATCGGTTTGATTTTAGAGGAAATGAGGACAGGATTTCGTCTGACAAACTTATTTCCTTATTTCGTTCCTGGGTGAACATTTCTATAATATGATCTATCTTTAGCGCTACCATGTATTTTCCTACATAACTATATGGTATTTTAAATCATAAAATTATTATTATAAAACTTGAAAACCCAAAATTACAAAAATTCTGTTATTATTGGTTGTCTTCTTCTTCTTCTTCTTTTAGATAATTTGGCTCCAACGCCTTTGGCATTGATTTTGCCAATGTCAAAGTATTTACAAAAATAACAGGTGCTTAGAGAGGGAAAAAATTACTAAATCTAAATACAAGTAAATTTGGTCGGTTTTTCCATACGCGAATCTGTGGTTTTAAGAACAGCACAAACAAATATATGTTAGACTAACTACTTTANTCTCTGAATCTAAAGAAGACCTCCCTCTGTCCGGCGGGACATTTTCGCCCACCGAGGACGACATTGACATAAAAAATACACTTACCAGTTAAATGAAACTTAAACTAATCCACCACCAACAAAAATAGGGCAACACAATTCTTAAAAACACAGAAAAAACGGGAAAAACACTAAAAATAATCGAAACGCGTGTGATCTGCTGGTTGTCTTCAAACATTCACGAAACATACATTTTGTCAGAATAAGGACTATTGTCTAATGAGACTACTGGCTGATAGGTAGACAAAAAAAATACTATCTATCTATCAGAGCATGTATGTGATGTTGACGGGGGTTGGTTAACCGTGAGCCGGGTCAGGGTGGTAGTTAGCGACGGCCCCGATAAAGGAGTTAATTACTATCATAAAGAAGCATTTCGACGTTATCTTCTATATGAATAGTCTATACGGATACGGATTATATGACCAAACATAAGTGAAGAACATAAAATGTCATCTTATTATGCAGGGACTGTTAACTCCACATGCAGAACATCGAAGGCCTATCAAAGATAAACGACCACAGATAGAAGTCATATTAGGAGGGAAGATCATTGTGAAGGAAATGATTCTCAGATCCCTGAAATTTCTAATTCAAGGGGGACTCGATGCGAGTTTCCTCCCCTTTGTAACATCGTTGCGCCACCTGCGGAACTACTGGCCTAGAGGCTCAGAGTACAGGCAAAGTGAGGCGGCGGTAACAGGTAAGATTTGCTGAGCGGTAAGTGCGCCTCAAGCTATTTTAGCGTTTATGAAATTCAGGTGCTACAGACGTATATTTTACATATACAGTAATCCCCCCCCCCTATAACCTAATATAAGTAGATTGGATCCGTATTATAGGATATTATAGGATATAATTTTTTCAAATAATAACCTTCATTTCTGCATTTTGCAAGCAAGTTAAATACTTCCTTATCAAATTTACTTCATAGTAAGGTCAGTTGGGTTATCCTTTACATTTAACAAGTGAGAAAAATATAGCATTAAGTGTGAAAAATGATGATCATCAATCAATTAGTATTTAACAGTGACTGAAAATATTTTAATCACTTTCTGTAAGTTTGATAACTAAAAGTAGACCTGAAACTTTAAATTTACAGACATCAATCCATTTATAGTAATGATATATTTTACAAACTTTAATGAAAATCTATGTTATTTACAAGTATATGATTAAAATAAACATTTTTTTTAAATTCTCTCTTTAGGGTCATTGATATAAAATTTTAGTACCTAAGTACATTAACATTTGCACCACAAACAAAATCAAAGATGCATTACTTACAAATTTTTATAATACAGAAAATCCCAAAGAATAATTTATAAGAAAAAATTAAAGAACCTAATTATGAGAAATGTTTTCAAGAAATTTAGAAAAATGTATACTTATAAAATCTCTAAATTTAATACTAAATTTGTAATCTTTTATAAAATCTCTAAATTTCATGTCACATTAATTTAAAAAACAATAACAAAAAAATTTCTAGGTCCATTTGAAACAATACACACTTCCTCATAAAACCTTTTTTTATATAAGACCTTATATACCTTATATAAGACCCAGCCTATAAGACAGCCCCATAAACATGTGGCATAGTCCTCAGAAAATACCTAGCAAGCTCTGATGGTACCAGGCCTCTTGACGCTAAAATAACTTTGCTCTAGTAAGATAGTCTGAATATTGAGAGGAATTTGAATAATCTAAGAAATTTTTAATGTTATATAATATTAATAATAATAATAATAATAAGATTATTATTTGTAGATACACATTCACTGCTTAATATAAAGATAGTAAATCAAATTATGTGAATTATTTGATGGTAAAAAATTACAGAAGTATTTTAACTGGGTAGGTATTGGTTTCATTTTCGCTGATATTGAAACAATTAGAAAATGGAGCGAGTATTACCTATAATCATAAGTTACCATGTGGGATATTTTTTGTAAAAATCATTAAAAACGTATAGTATTTTTTTTGTCTTATTTACTATTTCAATAATGCTATTTTTGTATTTTGACAAACATTGCAGGTACAGCGTACAATATTTAATTTATTATTTTTTTGAAATGGTTTGATTACTTATGCATAGTAATAGAAATATAATCCATTACATGCCTACTGTAAACCGTGAAAGAAATATGTTAAAAAGGCTAGAAAATGTTTACCATCATTTTCTTGAATTTTGTCAGTTGTAGCGGCGCTTCCTGTTTGTGTCATGCCCTTAGACAATTCGTCCATCTTGCTATACACTGGTTTGTTACATCAATCACATACACACAACACCATAACAAAATTTCAAACACAATCACAATCTAGCACAACGCACTTTACGTAGAACATTTTTTTCGTAAATTTATTATTAGTTTATTTTTTAACGATCACATATTTTATGAATTATCAGCATTGCAAGCAAACATAATAACTGTCAAGAACAGTCATAGATTTTTTTTGGTACAAATTTTATTAGGAAAGACAAGGGGATCTAAACCCATACAGTCTTGTAAAAAAGCTTGTCAAAAAGCCAAAGCCAGGTCTTATATGATTTATATGATATCCTGACAGTCATAGATTATAGCACACTATACCAGAGATTACACAAATGTTGCAAGCATGGAGTTAGTATATGTTAACTCCGGCTCTGTAAATTAGGCTCCCTTTTTTTTTTAATTTCGATTTTTTTTTTTATTATTTGTTCGTCGTTTGTTCGTTAATGTTCGAATGTAAAAATTTTTTGTTCGTCTTTTATTTATTTATAATTAATTAAACAAATGGTCACCGTTAAGTGGGCCCCTCTTACTAAATATCCTTATTTTTATCGCTCAGATTAATTCATTTTGATCAATTATCGTTTGTTCGCTGACTATTGGTGATTGATTGAGACCCGGGCGTTCTTGCACTTTTTTGTATCCCAATTGCTCACTAATAATTTTCCTTAATTTTTCAGGATTATATTTCTCCCTTCACTGTGTATCACCTTTCCTTTCATTTTTGTTGCCCACAACAATCGTCTCGAAGTAAAAAAAAATGAACGTTAAGCGTTCAGTAACAACAGTTCAACAAAAACTTAACAAAAATAGTCCAATAATATAACTAAACTTCAACAAAAAACAGTTTCAAAATTTAAAATTCAACAGATAGCGGGCGGGGCGCCGCATCGCAGCGAGGTGCAAACTTAGCTTGGTCGGGTTGTATTTCTTTTGCCATCAAGACGCTTTTATTACAACTAATCTGTACCAGCAAAATTAAATCGTTTTAATGACTTTTTGGCGGGAATGCGAGGAGTGAAGTTGTGTGAATTGTTTTATTTTGTCTATTTAGTGTTTCTTCAGGCTTAAATGCTTAATGATGGTGGTTTATTAACTTTTTAATATCTGTGAAAGTGCACAAATGTGGGAAAATGAAACAAAGCCGCTGGACGTAGCTTCTCGGGATTCTCCAAAAAGTCCACTGAAAAAATATCTGTAATTGACCACCATTTTACTGAGATTATATTTCATCCTATGTCATCTCATCTCAGTTCACTTAATTTCTTCACAGTTTATTAATGTCTCAAAGTAATCATTCTTATTTCATTTCATTTCACTCCATATTATCAATTTCCATAAAAATAAGACATGACTTAAAGGTCTTAGTTACCAGATCATAAAATCCCTAAAAAAACGTTTAATGCATTTTTGATTTTATGTCAAGAGGAATGCAAATGTAAATTAAACTGAATTTACTGGTTAATCTATATTTATCTATGATAGTTGATAAAATTATTATCTCCAGACGGCATATTTGCTTGTTGATAAAACAAATCTTCGCTATGGGCTAAGACAATAACAATAGGTAGTGAATAAACTGTTAAAAAAACTGTGATTATAGTTAGTTTTGAAAGAAAATAGCAGAATGGAACATTTTGGTCTCTCTCATATACTATACGAGCCAGACAAATACAATCCCGATACTTTAGATCTACTTGCTGATGAAGAAGCAAGAGAGTATTGGTTGTGTACTTGTGAAAAATTAGTTGAAAAATATGTTAAATTTGCACTTGTCAATAATAATGATCCTACAGTAGAAATAAGAGCTTTGAAATTTAAAACATGTTACGTTGAAGCATTAAAAGAACTTAGAATAAACCCTCTGTAAGTACTTTGCCTTTACTGAGTACATTAATTAATTGGCAAACACTCACATAATACTGTTACAGATATTAAGTGATTTTGTTTTGCACAGCTCTGCCAAGTTCTAATTTTAATTTAACACTGCAGGCCTATATAATTTTTCTAATGTACCACTAATTTTTTGAATAATTTGTAATTTTAGAGCTCATGGCCAATTGACCATACGGCTACTCCTTGACATCAACGAAACATGCCTTCGTTCTCAGGGATTCTTTGATCTGTGGAAACAACAAAAGAAATTTGAAAATGAAGGAGCATTGGCAAGTCTCAGTTCCAGATTAGCAGAAATTGATGCCATAACTAATGATAGACAACGTTGGACTGAATTATGTAGAGGTGTTTTAGCTGGTAATTGAAATATATTAATTTTTGGGAAATGTATTTTCTGCAGCTTCCACAAGTCGTATAAATAATTAAAACTGCTTTTACTATAATAATCATAATAATAATAATAATCAGTCAATGGTCTATGATTACAAAAACTGTAAGAGATTAAACCAAAGTGATAAAGTGGAATTAATAATTTAAAAGAAACAGTTGTTATAATTAAAAGAAAATAAGGCAGATAATACATTAGTTGCGAATAGAATAATTTTAACATTAAAGTTTATTCTAAATTGAAGAATAAATATTCTTCAAAAGATCCTAATAGTATTATCTTACCAGGCTGTCTATGGAAATTGACAATGCCAGTGGCATAGTTGTGCCGTTGAGCACCATGAAAAATTCATGACTGACCTGATGGTGCAGTAGTTAGTGCCTCTGACTGTTGCGCCACATTTTGTGGGTTCAATTCCCGCATCAGGTAAACATTGTGTGATGAACAGGTTTGCTTGCTCTTTCTCTGGGTGGTACCAATATCACAGGGAATCGTAAATCAGGGCCAGATTCACAATAATAATAATGATTATTATTTGTATAACCTGGTTTGAAGGAAAATTGCTATAATTCTTCAGAAACACCATGGCTATTGATCAGTCTCTACTGGTGTACAAACAGTTGTATTCCTATACAACCTTATTGCACCAGTAGTACCACTGTTTTTATAGTTTTAAATTGGAACACAAGATCACAGTTTACTTGATATCGAATGCTTCAAGATATGAGTTTACAGTATTACTTACAGTAACAGTTTACAGTATTAGTAACAGTATTACATCCATCCATCTGTCCCTAGCAGCTGTGTCATCATCTATTTCTACATTAATGGCTAAATCTCAATGATGAAGTTTATATCTTCAGTTCTGGTGCAAGATAACTTGCAAGGCAGGGCATGTGGTTTCAGTATATTTTTTGTATAGACATGTGTTTTGTCAGATTACAATTAAATTGAAATTGGGATCTCATAACTCATCTCAGATATTAGTTAAGCATTCAGGTTTGCGATAATTATGAAATCCAGTAACTACTTAATTCAATAAAAGCTGTGAGCATATTTGCTCATTTAAAGCAAAAATAATAATCCAAATATTATTTACTATTATATTCATTAATTTAACAGGCAATATGTTTGATTGGGGAGCCCAGGCTGTTACAAGTATCTTAGACTGTGGCCTTTATGAAGCCCTAGAAAAAATCCAGAAAAGACCTTGGCTGTTTGATGGTTTAGAAAAATGGTTGGATAAATTGGAGGTATATTGATTTATACCATATTTTACATCATATTTTAATTATTTAGTTACAAAAAATGTTGAATACTTATAATTTAATAAAATTGATCTTTACAGAAAACTGTTCATCACTGTGCAGCCATATTTGTTGATAATAGTGGGGTTGATATAGTTCTTGGTATTTTGCCATTTGTACGTGGCTTGTTACTAAGAGGGACATCTGTTATACTTTGTGCCAATGAATGGCCTGCACTCAATGACGTCACCAATATTGAACTAGAAGAAATACTACAGCATGCTTCACTTATATGTCCAGTATTAGCAGCTGCATTGTCTACTGGAGATTTAGTAGTAAAGTCTAGTGGTCAAAGGGGACCATGTCTCGATTTTAGAACTATAAGTATAGGTAAGTGTTATATCTTATCATGTGTTTATTATTCATGAAATATTTTATCTAATAAGCACATTATCTACAGGTCTTTGTACTGAAATGAAAGTGCGTGGAGTTGACTTAATTATACTTGAAGGAATGGGAAGAGCCCTTCATACAAATTTCAATGCTTGTCTAGCTGTAGATTCATTGAAGTTAGCAGTAGTGAAGAATGCGTGGTTAGCACAGAGACTTGGAGGACCACTGTTTTCTGTAATATTTATTTATGAAGACACCCCTATTAGAACATAATAAAACTGTAAATATTAAAATATTGTGAAAATCATGATTATGCCAGTATTCAGTGTAATTAATTCATGAACTTTCTACAATGTTTCTGCATTCATATCTTGAATGTTTGTGGCACTGTTCATATATTAATGATTTCTGAATATATGGAGCGTTTTATTGAATTAAGTGTTTAATTTTTTATTACAAATAAAACCATCTTTCATTGTTTCCTAGACTTTATTCAAACTAAGGAAATGAATTAACAGAATACAAAAACCTCATAGTTAAAGGGTGGCACTGTAAGTTCTTAATTCATTCATTGTCTATACAGTCCAACAAGAAACTCTAATTATAGCTTATACACATAAATTCACTGTAAAGTACATTGATAACATATGTAACTTCATAAAAAAGTAACAAAACTTTCAGTAAAAGTAATCAAGAACTCTACACTTCCACCTGCACTACTAGGGATGTGACACTTACAAGGGTAAATGATCTCTAGAAGATTTACAGAAGTCACGTCACACGCTTAACATATTCTGTATAAGTAATTTTATGTTACAATATTATCAGGGTATTTCTTGATTTAAGATCTGTTTAACCAAGCAATAACCTTGAACAACATATACGCTATGCCTATAGCATAAGCAATTTTTTCCTTCTGTTGCCTTTGAAGTTGTTCAGCTTCTATAGACATAACACGTCGATTTAACTTCACTATTTGGCGTCGTAAATGCACTAACTCTTCAGCGGTCGAAAGTCCTTCACCATTACCTATAGGTGGTGTAGGATCTCTGAAACCGTTAATTCTGATTTTAATAGAAAAAAAAAACTAATTAAAAATACTTTTACGATTACTCTTGCGTTCATTATTTTCGACTTTTCGAAAACTTTATTACTGTTTTTTCTATACAACGAACAAATGAGTTAAAAGCCCAAGTGTTACTGGAGCCGACAGGCCTCTTTACCATTTTAT